AAAAGTCCCCCCTCAACACGTGTCACACACCTGTCGATCATCTACATCGCATTATTAAATCCCAATAAAAGCTGAAATGGGATGTGCGATGCTCACAGGCGACGTTTCACGCGTCATACCAGTGCTAGAGGGCTTCATCATATGGTTGTTGCGTTAGCGATGACTGGTCTTTTACTGATTGGTCCAGTTGAGCTGCGGCGTTTAAACAACAGCTGATAAGCATCTTCGACAGACCTTCAGAATATTGAGGATTGTACAGTCAGGGCGGTAGACCGACTACAACTTGCAGGACGATAGAAGTACTGTGAGGGGGTTGATGATTGTGAAAGAACTCGGGATTGCGGTCACGCAGACAAGTCATCCGGTAGAGAAGACGGCAATTTATTGAGGATCTCGAGGGCATTAAAGCCGACGCTTCAGGCAGGCGATAAATGTCAGAACGTTGTCGCCGTTTACATTGTGGCCAGGGGAGTTGCTTTCAATCATTGGTGCAACGTATGGCAACAAGGGTGGTTTGCTCCAACGTGTCACATGTTTCGTCAGTTTTCAGCACAGATACCAGCACTAGACATAAGTCATTTGACTTAAAAATTCGCAAAAAATCTTCTCAGACTTCAGTTGGCTTGCTTCGAATATAAGGAGAAGGGAAATGTTATGGAGTAATTTGTTAAGTCGATAGGCGCAACACTTTTCGGCTGAGTGGGTTTTATTGAGTCCCCTTATCCTGAAACATAACATCTTCTCAGACTTCATTTGGTTTGCTTCGAATCTAAGGATGATGGAGATGTTACGGAGTAATTCGTCGATAGGCGCAACGCTTTTCAGCTGAGTGGGTTTTATTGAGCGCCCGTATCCTGAAACATAATAAAAGTTCGACTGGCCCAACACTATGGCCAGAGCAGGGTGCGGCATGCGCCATTGCGCTGAGCGCCCACTACAAATGTCGTGCATGGGTTCGCTGATTTCGGGATTCATCGCCGAGGCGGTCCTGCAACGGTTAGAGTCGCTGGTCTTCCAACACCACAGACCGAAATTCTGGGCCCGGTATGTGGATGATACCTTCGTCGTCATCGAAGGGGATCAGGTGTTGACATTCCAAGAACATCTCAACGCCGTCTTCCCGGACATTCCATTTACGATGGAGGAGGAAGAGAACAACCAGCTGGCCTTCCTGGATGTCCTCGTATGCCGCAAGGATTGTGGTGGACTAAAGACCAAAGTGTTCAGGAAAGCGACAAATACGATGCAAGTACTGAACTTCAACAGTAACCACCCAATCAGCCACAAACGCAGTTGTGTAAGGACGCTCTATCGACGTGTCGAAACGCACTGCAGTGAGCCGGAAGACAAAATTGCTGAACTACAATACCTCCGACGGGTCTTCAAAGCCAATGGCTACCCGCGCAACTTCGTCGACCAGTGCATAGGCAAAAGGGACGAAAGGCCTAACCGCACGGACACCAAGTCTTGGCGGGCACTTCCGTATGTCAAGAACGTTTCGGAAGCTGTCGGCCGCCTTCTCGCACCACTTGGGGTTGGAGTGGCACACAGACCGGAGGCAACCATCAGACGTCTGATCATGAAACCGAAAGACCCACTGCCACGGCTAGAAACGTCTGGAGTCGTTTATCGGATCTGGTGCAGTTGCGGACAAAGCAACTACGTCGGAGAAACCGGAAGACAGCTCCGAACGAGAATGGCCGAACACGCGGCAGCAGTGCGCAGAAATGACGCCAGCTCTCAAGTTGCAGCTCATTCGCCGAGATCCGGCCACACATTTAAATTCGATGAGGCCGAAATTCTCGCAAGAGGTGACAACCGAGTGAGCCGGGAGCTACTGGAATTATGGTTTACTGGCCCCCAGTTCATCAACAAGTGCAACGATCTTCGCATTCAATACAGCGTGCTGAGACTTTGTCTAGGCGAAGTAATTGGCCACGCGGGGAGCGCACTGGTGAACACTCTTCCCAACACCCGGGTCAACGCGTCAGATGGTCGAGCAATCATCAAGCCAATATCCAACGCACGTGATGAAATTGCAGCAATAATCGACGCGAATGTCGGCCATCAAGCAATGATCACACCAAGTGTGACAATCCCGGATGAAGGGGGAAGCCGTGAACGTTCATAGGTATGCGGTAGC